GCTAGCCCCAGACTTGAACAGGTTAAGATTGTAGTGGTCGGGGAAGCATCCTCTTGGGAGTCTGTTCCACAAAGCAGCAGTTCATGGGAAGAAGCTACTTGAGTGAAACTTACATCTCATCAATGCATTACGAAGGGAATGGGGGTGGTTTGCTACAATGGGCGTGGCAGGGTGACTTTTAGCCGTGGAGGTTAGAACTAGTGGAACTAATGCTTTATAAATCATTAAAAGTTAAGCAAAAACATCAAAGGAAAGATAACAGAATGCATACAATAAAATAAAGATTCACAGTTGCGCAAACATTAACCTTCATGTTCACAAAAAAAAGGAGTGTCAAAAGGACTGATTTTCACTTGACACCGGTATTATTTTAATTACCTTCACTCCTCGGCAATATTTATTGTTTTAACAGGCGTTGATTAGAAATGTAATAAAACCGAAACATATGATGGAAGTGAATTTATACATTTTTATTTACAAGAATAATTTTGTCTATATCTCTGAGATGAGGTATTATGATTACTTGCATTATTTACATTATTCGGACTGTTATCCTCATCTTCATTGCCATGTTCACAACGTTCAGCCTCTATATCTCTGAGATGAGGTATTACGATTACTTGCATTATTTACATTATTCAGACTATTATCCTAATCTTCCTTGCCATATTCACAACGTTTTGGCCTCTATATCTCTGAGATGAAGTATTAGGATTACTTGCTTTATTTAGATTATTGGGGCTGTTATACTCATCTTCTCTGCCATATTCACGTTTCATATGGCCCAGTGGATAAAGACGTTGACTAGATCCAAAGAGCTATGAGTTCGATACAAGGCCACTGCAGTGGTGAACCAAAAACTTTTTTATATGACGGTATATATTTAAATTAGTGAAACTAATGGTCAGGGGTTTCAACCATTGGAGAAAATAGCGTTTTCAATCGGTGATGCAAATGGTTAGCATTTTGAAACCATGAAATTCATCACTTTGAACAGTTCAAGACAATAATCAGCATTTTGAGATATTAAAACAAATGTTCAGCATTTTGAATTTTTGAAGATAATGGTCAGTATTTTTATATCAACCCCTTTCAGATAGATAATGAAGAGTCTGGAGTAGATAGATAGATAGATGTTGAATTTTGTTCTAATATATTATTCTTATAATAGATGCACAAAAATATATTATTCATTCTTAATGATTAAACTGTCCTCTTTGATAATTTTATATAAACCCCTTTCAGAAATTCTGTTCTCAAATATGTGACTGTGTATTCACTGGAAAAGAGTATTAGGTTGTCCGGAAAATAACGCCTGATTTTAGTATAAACCTTTTAATTGAGTTTTAATATAGTGATTTTCCAAGCGTAGCTTAGATGTGGCACAAGGCCGAAAGTATGGGGCACCCAGTGAGGATCGAACTCACTATTCAGTCGTAATTGTTCTAGCGAGACAAACTTACTATTACACCACAACGAGGTACCACATGATGATTTTTTAAGTGTAGCTTAGATGTGACACAAGGCCGAAAGTATGGGGCACCCAGTGAGGAACGAACTCAAGATTATTTTCTAAGCTTAGCTTAGATGTGGCACAAGGCCTAAAGTATGTGGCACCCAGTGAGCAACGAACTCAAGGTCATTTTCTACGCTTAGCTTAGATGTGGCACAATGCCGAAAGTATGGAGCACCCAGTGAAGAACGAACTCAAGGTCATTTTCTAAGCTTAGCTTAGATGTGGCACAAGGCCGAAAGTATGGGGCACGCAGTGAGAAACGAACTAACTATTCAGTCGTAACTGTTCTAGCCACACATCCATATTAACCATTACACTGCCTCGAGGTGCGCAGTTGTTTTAATATATTATTATTATTATTATTATAGCAGTTGTACAAAATCATTTCTGATGATTAAAGTATAATCTTTGTTAATCTTATACCAATTTCCTTCAGAATTTAACTTAAAACATTATATACCTGTTGTTGTAACTGGGAACCAAGGAAACAGTGCTACAGTTTCATCTATCCTTTAGACACGGATGTACCGCGTCGGCCATATTGTTTATGTGTGAATAAAATAACTGGAGGCTCGCTTCGGTGGACAGAAGGCTTAAGTCGAAACTGCGTTGGCGTTATTACTACAGACACCATTCACTTAGCAAGTTGTGACACCCCTCATCTTGAACATGGAAAAAGAAAAGATCCTTTTACTTTTTTTTGCATGAGTTCAAGCTTGGTTATAATGCTTGTCAAATTGCCGACAATATTAATAAAACATTGGGTAAAGGAACCACTTGTAATCTGGTTTTTGAAGTTCTGCAGTGTGTATACGAGTCTTGGTGATCAAGGTGACAGGAGGACGTTCATATGCAAATAACAATCACCATTTGGAAACAACAACTGAACAAAACCTATATTAAACTGTTAGAGAAATGTTTCAAATAATGGATGCCAGCGTTTCAACAATCTCAGGAAAATTGGCAAGGTGAAGGAACGATCGAGGTGAAGAAGTTGAAAGCCAAAGAAATCGACGTTTTGAAATGTGTTCCATCATTGATTTGTTGATGGAAGAGTGACTTGTGATGAAGAATGGATCCTTTATGACAATCATA